AGTACAAAAACAACAGAAAGACAAATTAACTTCTGCACATCTACAAATGTCAACAAATCAGATGCTTGTTTGTATGTTTTATCACCTTGGAGTACTAAAGGCAAAGCAGTTTGTACAAGGCAAGCCTATTTCAAGTTGTTGGGTCAAGAGATTTACTTATAGTTGATGTATTGACTGTCATGTTAGCTGGTTAATGTCCCAATCAATAGATCATTTAGGAGGCAGGCTGGTTCAACGGTCAACCTGCCCCTCAGAGTCAACACATGATGAGTAGGAACACAGACGAAAATACAGTGCTCGATAAAATAGAAAATAAACTTCCCTCTTTACAACTGTATTAAATATGATGAAGGAATCTAACTCCGCAAACTTATGTTTTCTGCATGCAACTGTCAAGAGCCTAACTAACGTTGGTTTCTTCTCTGCTTTTTTTTTTTTTTTTGGGGGGGGGGTTGGCCGCTTCATATGTTACATTTCAAAACGTCATACGGCGGAGTCTTATATTAAGCAAGTCCATATGGACACTTTCATAACAAAACATGACAATTGCAATTTTCAAAGTTTGACAAAAAGTGGTCTCCAATCCTGTCTTGCAAGACGAGACAATTCTGAAACTGACTTACTTTTTTCACCAAACCTTTTTTCTCTTAAAAAGAACTGCAATAAATAACAACTAAATATGACAAAAGCTGTCTGGCTTATTGTAACAGAACATATTCATCAATGCATCAGTTTAATTCTTGCCTCGAGTCTCATGGCTTTGCTTCAGGACAAAAGTTTGTTGGCTGTAAGAATCTGTCCCTGATTAGTCAGAGTCTAAGTCATACTACATTACTACATACTTTAAGCCCTACTTATCATTCTTCAATGCTTTTTTAGTGTTTCAAAGCGGTCTTTTTTTCAAGGAATTTAAAGCAAAGAGATTTTTTTTGTAGTACGACGGTTCATGTTGAAAATATTAAGGAAGTAGCTACTCAGATGAAGATATGGACAGGAGGAAATTAAATTTTACAGGCATTTGGCTCGCTGATGCAAACAGTTTTAAAATCACCTGTTCTGTCTTTTTTTTTCTCTCATTAACCTAGTTGTTGCATTTGCATGAGTGCCAGTACCATAAGTTATTTTTTTGTTGAGTTGCCTTAAATTATTGTTCGCCCAGGATTATTTAGATTCTAGTAAATATTTAGAAAATAAAAATCTTCCTTTTTCTCAAAATCACAAAAATGAATATGTCGCATTTTGTTGGGAAACTGTCCATGTGCACCCCCGATAAGGACAAAAGACAAAGAACATGTCTAGAAATAGACAGAAAAAGAAAAAGAAAACTGAAATACAATACACCATATTTACCCCAATCACAGAAATCAAACAAAAAATTTTGGTCTGTCTACAAATAAATGTAAATAGAGTAAAACTCTGACAACACACATTTCACAGGAACAGAGAATTTCTCTTGATTAAGCAGATTTCGTGCAAAGCAGATTTCGTGCAAAGCAGATTTCGTGCAAAGCAGGTTTCGTGCAAAGCAGATTTCGTGCAAAGCAGATTCATGTTAAGCAAAGGGCTAAAGAATATATAGACCAAAAGAAAAAAATCAGAGGCACCCCCCATTTATTGTCGTTTGTTGGCTTATGTGACATAGAAATGTGTAACCTATTTTAAGTCATTAATAACATATTATATATGCAGAACTGCCAACCGTTGGAAATTTATGGAATTGAAAGTTATGAAAGAAAGGGAAATCTTATTCTCACCTCCGACAGATGCTTTGACCGCACAGAAAGAGGGTCAAGGGATCCATTGTAGCTAGCTGTTTACCTTAAGATTTTCCACACTACTACTTAGTTTAAGAACAAAAATAAATAACAAAACATGGAATTGAAATATCATAGCAACACTTTATAATAAAGATACATGTAATCTGAAAAAACTGGAAACAAAGTGGGCTGCACATTCAAGGAGAGAATGCCTAACATTTGTCTTTGTCTACTTCAAGATTAAAGCCCTGTTGCCATCTCATAACTACTTTTAACTTTTCAGAAGGAGAGCTCGGCAAAATGCCAAAAGCAGAAGAGAAAAACTCTGTATCGAGACTAAACACAGATACAAAGACAAAACCTTTCTCTTGAGCATAAATCAAATCTATAAATCTTTTCATAAATGCTTCACAACTGGAGTTGAACACATGCACAATACTTTTCATTTTTAAAAATCAGAGTTACAATGTCCTTAGGGCTTAGGGATGATGGCAATGAATTTGAATCATTAAAAAAAGACAAAAAAAGGAAAGGCTTACAATAATGTACACAAAAAAAATTATTACAATCAAGCTATTCTCACATATTATATATATTCAACCAAAAGCAAAATCCAAATCTACATGTTGCTCATCTTTTTCACTTCCCTTACCTTGTATCTATAGTGTTTTCAGAAAAAGGAACAATAGGTCAACCGTTCGCCTTGACTGAAAATGAAATAACAGCATTCTAAGAACTTTATACATTATTAACTAACAAAACTTGATTGTAATACGAGTTCACATGAATAAAGAAAAAAAACCAACAACCATCAATCAACCATCCCAAAATTTAAAATGCACACAGTACTTCGCAAGCATGACACGTAGAGAGCACACAAGCATTCATATTATTAACAGTACACAGAGATTTATACGAGGCTTTCACAAAAGGTGCCGCTGCAGCATGCAAATCAGAAATATCTAATAATACAGTCGAACCTGCTCAAACAGCCTCCTGTCCAAGACAAACACCTGTACAAACAGCAATTTCCCATCTTGTCTTTTCATATCTGTAATGATGACACTATCCAAGATGTCCATCAAAGACAACCAGTTTTCTCGACATTGAGTGACCTTTTTGGATATTTTCACCTGCATTTTTGTAATAATCTAATGACTAAATGAAAAAAAGAAAAAAGCTTAGTCTGTGTTCGGAATTCATTCAATATCTAGCACTGACTTTGACCCCTCGACTATGATGATAGTACATTGTAGTATGTATTGGTTTCATCACAATTTCACGTCTACACTTTAAAAAAAAGAAAGCACAAAAAAACCTTACAAAATTTGACCAGCCTTGATTGTGAAGTCTGGACTTCATTTCAAAGCATCTTCTGAGCCAATATTATTTCTTTTCATTCTGCTTGATATAGAAATCCAGTTGTCCCTTGTCGAACCATTATTCAGAACCTACTGCGTTTCAAGTGTTCCTAGTCATGTGAATAAATCAGACACATCTCTTGAGGCATCCCAAAATGATAAGAGGTTACTCTGTCCAAATAGCCGAGACATTAAATCAGGGCAGAAGTCAGTATCCAGCCCTCAGCTATTTGAACACTTAACCCCATCCATACGTCGTGTTTTACGATCGTATCCATACGACGTGGAGAACTCTGTGCCACCACTTTCCAAAGAGGAAATTACTCGTTAATCCGATCCGAATGCTTTGCATAGCAGTCTGTCAAAATGATTTCTTGAAAAATGCTGCAAGTTTCAAAGAGATCTTCATACTAGAAATATTCTAAAATGTGAAGAATACAACCCTGCTGGTACAAAACGACCCCAGGGCGTACGGATAGGGTTAAATCATTAGATAGTGCCACAGTGACAACACATCACTTTCTGGTAGCAAGACCAAAATGTATATTCCCAGGGCCAATACTATGGAGATGACAATCCTTCTTTGAGCTCTTTTGTATTTAGTTGTGACAAGTGAAACTTCTCATTACAAAAGACACTGGAATTTACGAGTGATTAAAGACTGGTTCGCAAGTTATAGAACAATGATTAATATCTTATTTTCATTGGTACTGAATGTGCATGCATTTTTGTAACTTCTGGGAAAAGTTACATAACAGAGAGCTGGGGTTTGATCCTGTCACCAATAACTGCTGCACTTTTCACTCAGGGGTCACCAATGAGCTTTAAAAAGTGCATTTCACACAGAGTGATTAAACAATGCCGTGACTCTTAATCCAGTCAAACCATTAGCTAAGTTGGTATCACATTGAGCTATTGAGCGAACAGTGCTGGCTCGAATCTCTAACAAAGTGTTCTTGAACTACTGGTATTTGCAAGTATTCAAGTCTCTCTGTGCATTTGACAATCCTAAAAAGGCAATGGCTATTTAATTTGGTGGGCCCACCTCTTAAATAACTTAAGTGTTGAAAAGGGCACAAAACCCATAGAATTATAAAATTATAATTATAACGCTTATCTCGGCATTGAAACCTTTCATTACAAAAAATAAAAACAAAGCTTGTTGATTGTTTAGTTTAAGACTGAATGATCATCATGAATGCATTTACATTATCATAAAACAGTAACTTGTGAAGAAAGAAACTATGTACACTTTCAGTTTGAAAAAGGGCCAAGCCCTTCCAACTCTGTACCCTGCTTTTTCTCATTGGGCCAAACTGTCTTAACAAAATGTGTGTGGTTGAAAGATACCTTTAGACAGACGAGAAGTGGAGATAAACTTTTCGGGGCAGTTGTTTTCCATCAAGAAACAAAAGAGCAACTCAAGCAGCTATCTGCCGGTAAAATAAAAAAAATAAAAATTCTCCATTAAAAATTTGTGACAGGTTCTCGTTATGTTTTGAAAGGAGCATATCTAACCATGTTTGAGTTTGAGAGAACGGCCTAAATTACAGCCTCTTGTGGCTAGGTCCTTTTATAGCAGAAGAGTAGCCACATTCCCATTTTTCACATTTCAGCAAGAACCTGAAATCATAGGGGTCCTTCCTATGTAAAATTTTCTTTACTCATGCCATGCAACTTCTGAAAAGAAGTGGACAGAAGATTATAGTCATTTGAAACAATCAAGGGAGAATAGGTGCCATGGATTTGGGGAGGGGGGGGGGGGGGGTTGTTTTTGAATATCCACAGCAGAGCATCAAAAGCTTCTGCATTTTTGTTCTTAATTTTGGATCAAGTTTTCAAAGTCACAAACTCAGTAATTTCCAGATAAAAATAAGCCAGATGGGATATGTCATTCGTTTATTAATGCATACATTAACAAATAGAGCCAGAGCTTTACAAACATCTTAATAAAATGTGAAAACATACTTTTCATGGCATTAAAAAAACAAAAAACAAAAAAAAACAAAAAAACAACCATAAAATTTCTAAGAAAATAAAGGAGAAAAAAAAGAGGGAAAAAAAAATGTTATTGCTACCAGGCAAAGAGCAAAACTGAAAATATGCACCATGGAGCTCTAAAACCAAGAAAGCCAAAGACATCTGAAGCAATTTTAAAAAAAAAAAAAATGAGGTACTTTGCTGGATAGAATATTTCACAACAGATGCAACAGAGATAGCTTGGCTTGTGTGCAAATGATGGCATCAGTCAGCTGAGTGGCAATTTTTAAACTCAAAACACATGAACTGAAATTCGATGACAAGCCACGTACAGAAGGGGAACAAAATGAAACCTACAGTGTGCTTTGCTTAACCTAGAAGATGAGCTAAATACAATGCACAATTTTAACTGTCTTAATTTGTTAACACACCCAACAGAGTATACAATACTAACTATACAGAATACAGGGTCTCCTATACATAAAAAAGAAGAGAATTATTCTTCAACTTTTATTCCCCCCCCCCCCCCCTTCCTACCAACACAAATCACTCCACAAAGCTATGTTTCAGAACATAGAATGACCAAGCTTTACAGATAAGTGGCACCCCATGTTCATTCTCATATAATACGGACAAACTACTTGCATTTAAAGCCCAATAAACAAAGCCAAATAAAATATTGAGACATTTCTTCAGGCTTTATGTTATTAATTTGTGATTTTATTCAGCTACCCAGCCTCCTTCGGCTTCAGTACATTATATGCATTTATTTACAGACAACTTTATACGTGATTTAAGGGTACTGAAAATGTGAAATTTATGTGTCTGTCGCCAGGTCAGTGATCTAGATGATACTAAAACACCACAAAGTAGGCGGGAATTAACAGGAACTTGGCACAAACATGATTACAGAGTTTCCAAACTAAAACTCAGAACAGAGGTGTTTACTTTCGAAAGGTCAAAACAGAGTAAACCAAAAGCTAAGCATTATTAAAATTGAAGAGTTTGTATTGATCAGGAATAATTTATCCCGGGTCAACATACTTATTTCTGAAGATTAAAAAAAAAAAAAAAAAAAAAAAAGAAAAGAAAAAAAAAGAAAGAAATCAAGACTGACATGAGGTCCTACACTTACCTTTTAAGTACCCTTCCCCTTCCAATACATTGACTGACTGTGTCTCATGAAACAGTTCAGATCACAGTGTACCCTTAACAAACTGTGTCTTTATTCACCATCAATAATAATGAAAAAAAACAAAAAAAACCTCCAAAAAACTAAGAGACCCCCGAATTTGCCTCGTAAAGGCAACTATGAATCCTGCACATTTCCTCATTTTAAAAAATCAGAGCAGCAAAACACACTAAAAATAAAGTGACATCACGTGTCATACCAAGCATGACCATGACCTATAATAGTGTGTAGTCCATGCAAAAGGGAATCTACAAGAGTATGAGCTATACTATATAGAGAGATGAATAAAACAGCATTATCAAACAATGGTGTGAGGGACAACCATAATGATTCCGTGAGGCGAGATGAAAATGAGGATGAAAACTGATGGAAATCATGGGGAACAATGAAAGATGGTAGTAGTAGGACTTCTCCCATGTTACTTGGGAGCTGCTCTTATTCAAAGCTTGTCGAGTCCCGTCAAGTCAGATCATGATTTCAGTCCATGCAAACTGTGTCTAGAAAAGTAAAAGATGAATAAAATGTCAATGACCATTGCGTGTTAGACTATCATTTTGACTTGAGGCCAGATGACAATGACAACAAAAACTTGATGCAAATGGCTGGGGGGAAAATGATGACAGGTTGTTTTTCCAGGTTACTTGGAGCTGCTCTCGTTCAATCCTGTTGCATCTCCACCGTCAGCACCGAATTCATCTGAAAGAAACAATAAACAAACATCTATAAATCATAGGTCATTAAGATTTTTAAAAAACCCAACCCCAACAAACAAACAGAAAATCAAAAACCTCGATATGACAATAAAACATTTAACATATCACAATTCTGCATTAAAGCCAACAAAAAAAAACAACATAATTTTACCATAAAGAATCCATAGCTCTGAAAATGACTGTTCCATCAGTGCAAAGCGGGGATCAAGGACTGGTGATGGGTCTCATTTAAATATTGAGAAATGCCTAAGCGTCTCAAACAGCTTCTCCCAATCCAGCCAACTGTACCTACCCGTGGTGGTCCCTGTCCTCATTGACACGGCTCTGGCGAATGGCGAGTTGTTGGCGCCAACAAACCAACCCCCCCGTTTCCTAGAGGGGTTAAAACAACAGGATGGGAGCAGGTGTGGCCCCACAAGGTGCAGGAGGCAGAACCCACCGATGCGTGGTAGACGCTATGCTCCTCACTAACACACCCCTACTCTCCCTTGAGTGGGTGTCTATTCTGCTAACACCTCTACTATTTTCATCAACACACCCTCTGTGGCTGAGAAGGTACCAGCCAGTTTGAGAGTGACTGGGTGCAGGGGATGGACCGAGCAGAATGCCTGACTTGCTTTCTGGCCGTGAAACCTCTTAGTAAAGGCACAACGACCCAGGACGTGACGATCCAATGGCTTTTCCACTTGGCCAATACCTCATGAAAGAGTCGAAAACCTTAGCCAGTAGCCATTGGTGGCGGGGAATGGGCAATGTGAACCCTACCGGAATTACACGGTCACAGGGCAGTTAGGTCTTTCCAGTCTCATGAAAACTCCTAGTACCCTCCTATCCTCAACATGAATGGCCTCTTCTCAGGGTGGGCAGACAGTCCACAGACACCCCAGTCCACAATGCCATGACACAAAGAAACAACAACAACAACAACAACATCAGTGCAAAGCAATTTCACGGATTACACATCTAGTGCAGGGGAGGTAAACGTGTTACGTGTTTCAGTAAAATACAAAACAATTGAGAGGAATACCAAGGGACTCCAGAGTGGGGAAGATTATTTAATGAGTTTCCACCCCCCCCCCCCCCCCAGGCTTGCTCATAATAATTGTGAACCTATAGGAAGAGACAAATGAAGAGGGAGAAGGATCAGAAAAGAAAAGAAACAATTAAAGTCACCAAGAACAACCGCAACAATTTCACCATCAAATCCCGTCAAACAAAAAAAAGTCTGAAAATCTACGGTTCCAATGAAAGAAAAGAGAGGATGACAACAATTTCAGAATGCAGAAAGAAGATGTTGAAAAAACAAAAAAAAAAACAAAAGGGAAGAAACAATTCTCGAGCATACATCATTGAAGAAAAGGTTAGGCCATTATTAATGTAGGGCAGTTGCCACTAGTACAATCATTACACCCAATACAGATCTTTACCGCAAGATGCATACTGATAGAATGTCCAGACTTTGGAGAGGCTTGCAGGTTTAAAAAATTGTAAATAAATAGCCAATTTTATAAGTAAATTATCATATATTTGAACCACTTAGATTCCTTTTTTTTGGGTAAGTGTTATACGGCGCTTGCAACTACCTCATAAGGTCATATGAGCGCGCGGGACACACCAAACATTTTCAGTAGGTAGGTAATTTTGAATTTTGCCTGGGTGGCGGCCGAGCCTACCCGTATCGATTTTAGACCACCAAGGGATCTTTAACGTGCGCAACTTGCACACGGGCCCTCCGAGATTTTTCGCCCTTGTCCGAGAAAGTTAGGTGTAGATCTTTCCTACCAGAAGATCAGGGGTGTGGCTGAAAGATAGCAGTAAGGAGCCATGGAGTAGCAGTAGAAAGGCTTCAGAAAGAATTAGGAGCCCAGAGAAGGGGGCAAAGAGGTGACCGGGCGGGGGTAGAAAGTGGAGACGAAAGCAGACGACAGACCATTACTAGAGAGCAGGAAAGAAGGTGAAAGAAGACAATTTTAGAGAAGAAAATTTGCGGTCGCTACCCAGAATCGAACCCGGCACCTTTGAATGAGAGGCAAACACCTTAACCTCTAGGCCACGAGAGCCCCCCATTTAGATTCGCAAAGTAAAACCAAACCATGCTACAAACTACAGTGAACATGATTAACTTGCGTCTCAAGTGCCATACGGCCGTTCGCAGTAGCGAGCACCGTAAAATTCTTACCAAACCAAACCAACCGACACCCAATACTCACTGGCAGCTTTGAATACTGCAGCCACGTCTCCCTCCCCATAGCCCATGCGCCTGGCTTTCTTGAACAGTTCATTGGCCGCGGCAGCCAAGTGTAAGGGCTGCTCTACACTGTCTCCTAGCCCTAACACCAAGCGAAGGTCCTTCTGTTGGTGTTGCAAGGGGAAGTGAGGATCGAATCGGCCGTTCAGGATAGCTGCACATGTGGAGAGACAATAGTATATGAAATATAATAATTACATATATTTATTATACGTTTACTATTCTTGAAAGGACAAACGTCAAACAACATCAAGGTCATATATAAAGCAATGTATTTTTAAACAAGTCATGTCAGCAAAATAATGATGGATGAAGTGGGAATGGTGAAAAAGAAAAAAAAAAACTTGGAGCATTTAATAAATTCAAAGAGCAATAGATTATAGTAGCAAAGAGGGGTCTGCAAGTTACATAACAAACCAGTCCCTGAAACCTTCTTTGCGGCTTCAGCATTTAGAATTAGTAAAGGTTTTATGACACTTGCAACACAAATAGGTCATATATGTGTCGAAGATTAACATACACAGAAAAGAAAGAAAGATAAGGATGATAGATGTTTGATAGGATGGAATGATTAATTATTATCATTGATCAGCGAAGACAAAATGTAGCCACGGTCCATTTCCATCAGCAGTACTAGCAGTGCTTCTAACAGCTGAAGCTGAAAAGTAAGGAAAATTCTGCAGGGGGTTCGGTTGGGAGTTCGGGGTGAAGTCCCCAAGAAATTGAAATTTAGAGATTCTAGAGGGTTAAAAATAGCATTTGGGAGCCTGTTCGAATAGATTGCCTACAACCCATAACATTTTATTTTTTCAACAACATTTTGTCTTGTTTGATTTCTACACCTACATATCTTTATATTGCTGGCAATGTTTAATTCCATTGCTACTATAATTCAATTAATTGGTCATCGCACAATTGACAGAGGGCAAACTTTGGAATAATGAATAGAAAACGACGAACGGATAGGTTTAATATTCGGTGAACACCGCTATCAATAGTTTAAGATAATCCAGAAGACAGCTGCCTCTACCCTGCTGCCTGAAAGAACTAAGCTGGGCTGTGAGGAATGCATCCAAGCAGAAAGACAAGAGGACACTTGATGAACGCTATTCTCCACGCTGGAACAGCGCGCAGGGAGTATAGAAAAAGAGACAAAGCAATAAACAGCTGAGCACCCACATAGCGAAATCAGCAGGACGCGCTGATATCTTCTCATTACTTATAAAGTAAAATTTTGTAATGTACATTTCTTAATATAAAAAATATACTTGAATAAGAAAAACCTTGGGAATGAAAATCTGTTCACTATATGCGGGTATTGCTATGTATAAGAAATGATGGGTAGAGCACAGATAGCCGACCCAGACGGTCAACAAGCTAACAGCAGAAAGAAAATTTTTCAAGAACTCACTGGCAGCAAATAATCTTTTTTAAAGGAAACAGTAGAAAGTAGACCTGCATGTGAGCCTCAACTAGATTGTCTGAAAATTTTGCGGACCCCCCCCCCCCCTCCATAAATAAGAGCTTTTGTGGTTGTCATAAGGAAGGACTTCAGAGTAACGAGCGGCCACCCCAACAAACACAATAAAGAAGAGACCTAAACCTAACCCAAAAAAGACCCCGCAAGAGGCCTCATGTAAAAAGGTCCAAAGTGAAAAAAAAATTTTAAAACCACACTCCAAAACAAACAAGGAGCTTAAATATGGCCTACATCTACATTGCTATAATACAATAACACAATAGAATTGGAATATGAATCCTCCATATATAGATCTAGTAATCTAAATAAATCTAGATCTAGATCTTGTAGAACAAGTGAATAGGAATAGGCCTTGAACTAGAAATCCGCATCCGATTCCGAACAGAGGGACTCAGCTGAGTCTAGATCTAGATCTAGACTAGATCTAGATTCTAGCCTAAATAAATAAATAATTCACGCACCTGATGAAATGGTTTTTACCAATATTAATATTCATAGCTGCCACTCAGGAATTTCAAAAAAGGAGGAAATTCATGCGAAGGCGGACGCGTGCTCTCCGAAGGCCGGAGTAAAACCAGTGAGATCCAGAGGCAATATATACTGGAAAATCTACCCTACGGTTTTGGAAGGGAAAACTGTAACATTTCTTAACCATAGGCAACTGAATTAAAATGTATTGAAAAAAAACAACAACAAAAACCAACAAAGGCACTAAGTAGACTAACAATAAGCATTTGAGTTTGAGTCAATTTGACACAGTTTGGACTTGGTGACTAAAAATCCAGTGTTTGTTGCAAGCTGGTGTCTTATAAAAATGATTTCTTTCACTTTAAACGTGTACATCGATGTAGAGCGCGCGCAGTATTGGATGAAGGAGGCAACACCTTTGCCGCTGTACTGAGCACTCCTGTACAATTGCGGTCCCGTTTGCACTTAACTTACTAGATCTAGTCCCTCTGTAGTGTGTAGATCTAACCTGAATTAAAATTATAGCCTAGGCTATCTAATCTAGATCTAGAATCTAGATATCTAAAAATGTGTAAATCTAGATTATGTCTAGAGATAGATTATCTAGATCTAGATCTAGATTCACTTCAACAGCCACAATAGCCGTCATGTAAACAAACGGGACCGCAATTGTACACGAGTGCCGCGATTTCTGTATCGCACAAAACGCAAAGTGCAGCAAGCGGAGCTCCTTTTATTTTTGCATTCTGCATCAATTTCTCTCGAATTTCCGCCGTTTTCAATGACAACTCGGCGTGCTAACCGATGGCCGGTCGACACTGTGTTGCTCCACAATAAACAAAGTGAAACTAGCGCTAGGCCTAGAAGAACGGAAGTAGAAAGCTACGGGCGGACATGAGCAAGCTGCGTTTTCGTTTCTCTCCCGGTTCGGTGTTTTCCGCGTGTAAAAAAGTATCGCAATTTGCAACCGAGCGCGGTCCAGCGGAGTAAGGAGAAAAGTAGCAGGAAAAGCTAGATGAAGCGGAGTTTCCGCTATTTAGCGGGAAAGTGGCAGCTATGATATTACAGGACAACCTATGATAGGGTTTGACACAATAGAATTGGAATATGAATCCTCCATTGAGGTCTATAATGATCTATAAATCTAGATCTAGATTCTATTAGAACAAGTGAGTCGGACTTGAATGAATCTGAACAATTGAATTAATCAACAAACGAAATTCAAAATGGCCGCTCGAGCACGAAACTGAAAGTAGATAATTCAGGTCGTCGTCCTTTTTCGTATTCGCATTTCTACTCAGGTTCCGACAATTATGTCGGAAACGCCGACGTTGGCACGAAAACAAAATGCCGACAAAGCCGATGGGAGAAAAAGGGGGCGCTGGCAGTCGGCCAGGCCTCGCACTACGCACAGTGACTGATACAGGTGGGCCTAGCCTAGCGATAGCATTGGCCGGCTCGCGGGTCGGATTTCAGACGATTGTCGGCAAACATGCAGGTCTAAGAAAGAATATTTTTTCAGAAACTAGCAGACTTTTTTTTCCAGGAATCGGCAGAAAGAATATCTTTCAGGAACTTGCAGAAATATTTTTTTCAGGAACCAGCAGAAAGAATACTTTCTTTCAGGAACGAGCAGAAAATTATTTTTTTTCAGGAACCGGCAAAAAGAACATTTTTCAGGAACTAGCAGAAATCATTTTTTTCCCCAGGAATCAACACAAAGAATATTTTTCATGAACCAGAAGAAAGAGGATTAAAAAGAACCCCAAAACGACTCACCTTGGCTCTTATGATTGATGGAGCGACATGAGAGAGACCCGAGGGAGAGCACCTCTGCAAAGTCCTCCATGTCGATGCCCAGCTTTTCGGCCAGAGCCATACCCTCTGCCAGGCTGGCCACCACATTGCCCAGGATCATGTTGTTGATGAGCTTCATGCGAGTCGCTGTGCCCACCTCATCTGTAGATCACATCGGGAGAACATGAAACCGATCAGAGAATGTAAAAAGTCATACCAGACACGGCGTCATACTAGAACAGCTTAATATCCAGTGCTCACTGGGGGATCGTTCTCCAATACAAACTATAATAATAATAATACAAACTGATAGCCCGACTTGCAGTCTTGAAATCAAACTCGCGTTTATTTTTTTGGCAGCAAGTCGGGTGATCGGTTTGTTGTGCCACAATTTGCCACAATTTTGGTCACTTTGCGCCCTCAATCTGTCTAGCCCCGCCTACTAAAAACAATCAAAATCATGCCAATGGGCACTGGGTATAACTCACTCACTACAACAAGCTGACTGATTGGCTCAGCGTCTTCCTCATCACCACAACGAGACGTTTCATCAGCCCCATTACCGTTGGTGTCCCACAAACAATCCACTTAAGTTTGTTTGGGTACTTTTTACACCAGTCAGAAAAATTAGTATAACAAAGCTCCTATAGATTCAGGAAATGAACACTTAAAACAACATTTTAACAATACTCAGCTATAACAAGTCTTTCAATACAATAATCATGAAAAAATAATTTAATGAAGACATATATATATAAGAAAACAAAAACAAAAATAACTAAGGACAGGACAGAGCTAAAGAATCTCCTAAAGCAAGACTTCTTAAAACGATTCTAGAATCCAAGCACACTTTACAGTATTTTCTAAAAGTAGAAAATACAAGAAAACACCTGTGATTTATAAAATTCTTTATCTTGATAACATATTTAAAAGCAAAAATGTTCAGGCTTGTCACACTTACTTCCAAGATAGAACGATCGCTTTCCCATAGCCTCAAAGCAGGAATAACAGTCATCAAAGAGCTTACGGTCACCAGAACACAAAATGAGAAGCTGTCCTTCCAAGGCGGGCACACGACTTCCGCAGACAGGGGCTTCCAGAAACGCGCCACCACGGGCCATAATGGCCTGAAATGCAAACAGAAACAATTTCTAGTTTAAAGAAAGAGTACACATATAATATATACATACAGTTAAAAATTCTTACCTAAAACAATTAAGTACAAAAGGCCATTCCAGCCACAAACAATAATAAAAAAAACAAAAAAAGAGGAAAGAAAAAGAAAGAAACTGAGAATAGAACAATGGTACTGTTACCTCATAAACATACAAAGCAAAATTGCCGCATAATTCACTGTACCTTAACACCAATAAAATCAGTTGTGTTCAACACTGACAGTGCCAAAACCCTTATATCCATATGGGACTCCTGAGTAGATCAAAGATTTTTTTTTACGGAACAATCTAAACTAGTGTTTTCAGCTGTCAATCATACATGATAAGGTAGCGACTACTGCTGGAAGGAAAGGGTAAAAATAACTTTGTAAATGAAGAAATTCCAAAAATACATCAATACTATAAGAGTAAAACAAAGTGTTGAGAAAAAAACAAAGCAACAATCAGACTCGTACAAAATACAAAACCGGAAGTAAGATGACCCCACAACAACACCTTCTATACTCAGTGGGTGTCTTCTTTTTTCAACAGTTCACAAAAAAATCAACAAAAAAAACAACCAAACAAAAACGAACCCCCCCCCCCCCCAAAAAAAAAACAACTAAAAGAATAATTAAGTTGGCCCCTGTCCACTCTGTTCTGGCGCTAAACCACCCCCCCCCCCCCCCCCCCAAAAAAAAAACAACCAACAAAAAGAATTATTAAGTTGGCCCCTGTCCACTTTGTTCTGGCGCTAAAAAAAACCCCACCAAAAAAGCAAGAGATTTCCACAAAGCTACCAGTGATGTAAGAATTCTGCACTGCACTATTTCTTTGTTCCAACCTGCAAAAGCATTAGACTGATTCCTTAGTTCCAGCTTGCTAAAAGCACTGGACTGATTGTAAATGTAGTACAGAGAATCATTCACTCATAGGAATAGTCGGGCACAGGTAATTTAAACATGTTAAGGATTAAACAAAGTGTTAGAAACACGCATAATTGGGGCTTACTGATAATGAAAAATCAAAGAAATATCAGTCGCGAAATAGCAAATCGTAAGAGCCATCGTCATTTCAAGTTTTTCGTGTTCGTATTATCTGTGCCCAACTGAAGTATGCTATTTCACATTACCACTCTCCGTAGCTTTTTAGGACTAGCAAGAAAGGCAACCTCCCTAGTCACTTAGCATATATATATACAACTTTTCAGGACAAATATCCATGTGGGAGAAAGGTACAGGAAAACAAACAAAAATGAAAACTTTACATCAGCCACATCCTGTACGGTCTCCTCATCCACTGTTGACATCTCTACGTAGCATTTGCCTTTGGAAATGCCATCAAGGACACCCATGTTGCCAAACATAATCTGGAGGACAAAATAGAGAAAAGTGGGTTTTATTCCGTAAATTACTAACAGAAATGCACATTTCAAAATAAAAAACAAAACAAAAGCCATACAAGTTGTTATTTTAATAGTCCTCTACTGTTGGAGCATACCCTACTATTTCCACCCAAGAGTTGTGAAACATCAATATATAACAAACATGGCATGGGTCTTATGGCAATCTTGAGTGTAAGCAACAGTTCTTGAAGGGAAGTCAGAGGAAAAAAGTTCTGAAGACAATTGCTTTCAGTTTGTCATATTCAATTGTGTCACGACGTGGTAGCAAATGAACAAACATTAAGGTGATATCAATAACTTCATATGCCCCAAAATTGACGAGCGCTCGTCAATTTTTGGGCATTTGGAGTTATTGGTATCATCTTAAAGCTTGTTCAGTTGTCTCGCTATTGGTGAAAAAAAATGCTCATCTGTCTTGAATAGAAGTTGAGATATTTGAGATTGAAATGGCCGCCAAAGTTTGGTTATTTCCATAACTTGATAATTGTCAGAAACTGAAAACTTACATCTTTTGTGCTTTTAATCAACATTTTTCAGTAAAACCTACCCACAAAAGTGTTCTTAATTGGACAACTCTGGTATTAAGCCAAAAAACAAAAATTTGATAAAAATGGCCAGTTTCTTCAATTTTATTATTTTGAGGAGCGCCCGATTTCACCGGACTGCCTCACAATTACCAATAGCTTATTCTGAGCTGTCTTTTGTTTTACGTTCCCACTGACAGGTTAGATGCTTCAGAAGGTGGACTTCAACCCTGCCTGTAAAGGCCAACCTGGTCAGGGAAGGATACATTTTCTCCATTACATTATAGCGCCTCTGAAAATGTTTGGATGGAAATTCTTAATTGGATCCTAATACACTTGCTCAGACACACAGAGCCTACACGTATTAGAATTCAGATTGCTTTTATGGCCACCAGCCCAAGACAATCCCCTATATACAAACAACCACTTCCCCCCTTGTGTTTTTCTATAATTATGACATTATCTATCTAAGACAATTGTTTTTCTCCTTGACAATCATAGGTTATCTCAAGCAGTTTTCACTGTATATGTGTCGTGACGCAGTGGAATCAGGCGCTCGTCAATTTTGGGGCATATGAAGTTATTGATATCACCTTAATGTTTGTTCATTTGCTTTGCTTTCAGTGAAAAAATTATCCATTTATCTTGAATAGAAGTTGAGATATTTGTGATTAAAGAAGGTGTGGTTGCCTGGTTTCAGAGGTAAAATTAGCGAAAAAATGGTGGCCATAGTTTGGTGACTTCCATAGCTTATGAGTCCTTGGAAACTGCAAATTACATTTGCTGTGCCTTGAATCAACATTTTTACAAATAGTCCACACATAAAAGTGTTTTTGAATGGACGTACAAAGTGTTGAGCCAAAAAACAAACATTCGAAAAAAATTTCTAAACTGCCCGAAAAATGCTGATGTCTCGGATTTAATTATTTTGACGAGCACCTGATTTCACCACGACGCCTCATATATAACATTGGAGTCTGCTTAAACCGAAATCTGAGGGACTGCTGGATTTTCTTTGGACTAGTCGTGTTTTCGGTTTAAAGAGATTCCTGAAATAGTGGGGATTCTATTATTTTTTCAGTTTATAGCTTCTCTCTGACTAACCGTTTTCGTTTTAGTGGAATCCATTGTATACACACACATGTCTACATACAACTCTCAACTGTTTATATCTTTTCATTCCATTTTTTCTTTTACTTCCTGCCCTCTTGCTTGTATATGTATCTGAACCCCCCCCCCCACAGTCTTCCTCAGGCTCACTTGGCTCATAGCACTACAGACTTCAGGCTGAACAAGGAGTAAAAATACATCATGTGCAAGGTATAAAAACCATATGACTTAACATTGAGCAAGTAAAACCGCTGTGATAGTATCATAAAAACCCTCACGTCTCGAACTGCGGTGGAATCGGCCACACAGGTGAAGGTGATGTCGCATGACTGGACCACATCTGCTGGGTTGTTGCCCTTAAGTGCACCGGCTTTCACAAATTCACGACACTGTAGAAAGAGGAGAAAAAAGAACATGGGACCTTTAATGTAAAAACATATAAACATGTGTGCTCACATACATATATACATACATACATAGACACATCCACATAAGGAAGGGTGGATTATATCACTTTACATTACGCACACATATACTATAAATAACATACACCAGTACAAAGTAAGTTTCATATAAATGTGCAGCTGACCATTTTTGAGCAACAGCAGTATGTGGGTGGCTGGTGGCTGCTCCGGAGTGATTTGCTCCCTTATTTCCTAGCAAATATCTATCATCATTTTCTCTCCTTTTCTTTGTATGTCTTCACTTTTAAAAGAGTTTTTACAGCACTTGCAACACAAATACGTCATTTAAGTGCTGATGATCAGAGAAGAGTTAGTAGAGAGTAACATAGAAAGAAAAGAAAGCGGGGAGATAAAGACAACAAATGTCTGATCGGAAAGAGGTAGCAAACCAATCCAGTACCCCCCCCCCCCACCCACATACGTTGCATTTGGAGTACCCCCCCCCCCCTTTTCCATAATGTGTCCTGCTTGACGTACAATCCTCCATTTAAAAAGGCATAACATTTGCAGATGCCATAGAAAATACCCCAGGGTTGGACTGGAAATTGTTTTTTTAGGGCAATACAAGGATTTGACATCCAAACTCTCTATTTTGCACTACATTCTACCTAAAACATTTGCAGATAATCCTTTAATGGTTGATATTTTTCTCGGATTGGAGTTGGAGTGACACCCCCCTCCCTCACAAACTAAATAACTATACAATAAATATACAATCGAAATTGTTGTCGAGGAGAGGAGTGGCCGTCTAAGACAGGCCGTCTGTAAAATAAAAGAAAAGCACACAAGGGGGAAATGGTGAGTGGTCGTTAGTACAGGCAATTGTCCTATACAGGTGGCCCATACAGCAGTTTTTATTTCATTGTTCTTGTTAGACAAAGCTGACCAAACAATCAAATTAAATCCAAAGTAGATATTTTTACTCTCCCATCGACAAAATTTAGATCATTTAGGAGATGGGCTTAGCTTCCACCCGCCTGTC